CGACTACGACTCGGAAGAGATAACTTTGCCACTTTTATAAGCACGAGCCAAAGGCTCGGGGTGGTGTCCCCTAAGTCAACACCATACTTCGGCTGGGGCAACCGGATAGCAGCACGCCTTCTGACGAAACCATGGACGTTAATGTGTTGTGGTGTGTTTTCTTTTACCATTTCTGTACCTGCTTTTGAGTCCCATGGTTTCTGATGGCTCTATATCTATTCGTAGACTGTTGCAAATATACTCCGTGGAGTTGAGTGTAGCACTGATCATAAATTGATGCTGACTAAAATGTACATATATTTTCGGAACTCCTATGTATTGCACTCCCGCTGTGAATCGGCGCAAAATTAACATTCTCTCCCTCGGTACTGTGGCGAAACGTATAGAGCTGGAGAAGGCGATGGCAGCACGCCTGTATGGTGTGGAATGCGTAGTCACAGTGGGCAAGCTGTGGCACCACATTCGTGACCAGGTGAAAACTGCTGCCGAGGAGACCATCGGGCACGCACACCATAAGCGGCCCGATTGGTTTGATGAGAACAACGCGACGATTGGCGCATTGGGGTGTGAGAAGAATGTAGCATTTACTACACATGTGGTAGCCACAGTAGCTTGGAAAATAATTGTCAGTTTCGCAAACTTTGACGGCGACAAACCCGAAAGCTCCCTCGCATTAAACATGCATGGTAGAAGGAGAAGGCGAAGCAGATGGAATGTTACACCGAACGCCACTAACACAAGGAATTCTTTGACTCCTTGAAGGCAGTGTATGGACCGAGGTTGGAGCCGCTGAGGACGCTGATCCATGGTAGTTCAGGCACTACCTGCAAACAGACTGCAGATATGAGGCTGATCTGGCGGAAACCCTTCGACTGTCTCTTGAACAATCCTTCGGAGATCGACTAGCCTACGTTGAACGGCCTGAAGCAGCGCGATGTGAAGGCGAGCCTGGCAGAAACGCCGACACTGGATGAGATGCAGAGAGCACTTGCTCAGCTGCGAAACGGCAAGTGTGCCGGGGCGACGGGATCTCGCCTGAAGTATTGAAACACGACGGACCCGCGTTGTTGACTGCGCTGCACCACTTGGTGCAACGAGTATTTATTGAGAAGGAAGTGCCTGCTGAACTGAAGGATGTCCTTGTGCTACGAGTGCACAAGGGCAAAGGTAGCAAGCAATGTTGCACGAATTATCGTGGCATCGAATTGCTGAGTTGTGTGGGCAAGGTGATTGCCCGAATCCTGCTCAACCGCCTCATCAGTCAGGTTGTGGAACCTAACGTGGCGGAAGAGCAGTGTGAATTCCTTTCGGGTCGTAGCGCTGTAGGCATGGATTTGCGGCCTGTCAGTTGCAGGAGAATTGTAGAGAGCGAAGTTGCGGTTCGTTGATTTTACCAAGGCAATTACCTAGGTGAACCGCGAAACATTGTGGCTGGTGTTGGGTAAGTTTGGTTGCCTGCGTAAGTTTGTAAGTTTAATTGAACATCTGCACAGTGGCATGCGGGCGAGGGTGCAGCTGAGTGGAGAGACCTCGCATGACTTTGCAGTTGTCTCTGGTGTGAAGCAAGGCTGTGTCTTAGCTCCTACCCTGTTTAATATATATCTTCATGCAATGTTATCTTGTGCTTTTGATGCGTCTTGTGCTTACGGTGTTCGTGTGGAGCACCGTATCGGTAGGGGGTTACTGAACATCCGTCGGTTCGGTGCGGGAACTCTAGTCTGTGAGAGAACTATCCGTATGTTGCTGTTTGCTGACGACTGTGCATTGTTTTCACAGAGCGCGGATGAGTTGCAGCACATGACTAGTGCTCTGGCTTCGACAGCGACCAAATTTGGGCTCACCATCAACACAAGCAAAACTGTCTGTCTCTTTCAACATTCACCGCAGGTTCCACCTTCAATATTGCCGCGAATCAGCATTGGTGCTGAAGTATTGGAAACCACCTCCCGCTTCAGCTATCTTGGGAGTGTGATGTCGACTGATCAGCAGCTACACGTTGATTTGCGTAATCGCGTGTCGAAGGCAGCAGCGGCTTTCGGGAAGCTTGAGTACCGAGTGTGGAACAACCATCAGCTTACCATTGGCACGAAGCTGATGGTGTACAAATCCATGGTACTGTCCGTTCTTCTATACGGCAGTGGAACGTGGACTATGGACGGTCGGGATGTGCGATATCTCGAGCGGTTCCATCAGCAGTGTCTGCGACGAATTATGCGGATCGGCTGGGGCGATAGAGTTGCAGACACGGAAGTTTTGCGTCAAGTGGAATGTATGCAGTGGACTGCATACTTTTATTGAGACACTTGAGATGGCTCGGTCATATGAGCCGTATGGATTCGACGCGGATAACGAAACAACTCTTATACGGTCAGCTGAGTATTGGGAAGCGGCACGAGGGGAAACCAAAGTTACCTTACCAGGACATGATTAAAGTGAGCCTCTCACGTTCTAATCTAGATTGCAGATCATGGGAATCGAAGGCGGTTGATCAGCGTACATGGCGAGATCTGATCACAAAGGCAGTTGCTGAAGTGCGGGAGAAATCCCTCATGCATGCAGGGAAGAAGCGGCAAGTGCGGAAGCAGCAAGCACCGATGAATTGTACTCCATCGACATCAAGCGCATGGTGCTGTAGCACATGCGGTCGCGAGTGCCTTAGTCAGGCAGGCCTAGTGAGCCATGAGAGAGGTCACTCGGGATCACTGCCGAAGCGACGACGGGTCCTGCAGTGAACGTAGGCAGCACTGGCGCAGCGTTTGTAGGTACGCTGCATTTGATTTACTAACCGCGTGCTTGCATGCTAAGTCTCTTTATTTCAGGTGGTGGGTTTTCGGTTCAGTCCTAATGCCTTTCTTTCTCCCATAAATGTCTAGTGGGCCATGAGCTAGGCACTTTGGGGCCACTACAGAAGCGACGACGGGTCCTGCAGAGAACTACGGCGAGCCGGCGCAGCGTTGGTAGGCACGCTGAATTCGATTTACTAACCGCGTGCTTGCATGCTAAGTCTATTTATTTCAGGTGGTGGGTTTACAGTTTTTACCTTAATGCTTTTCTTTCTCATATAAATATCTCCCTGTACTCTATTCCATTAACTTGCACACCTCGCTCAAGCCAATTGTATTCGATTTCCATAACATTTTTGTGTTCGTGGCATTTCCGTATAGTATACTTTCTCACCTCGTCAACTTATCTAGGATTCGTTTGTAAACAACTTGTTTCATATGCTCATTAACTTAAGGTTTACGTCACCGTTTCCCTATGTATCAATCGAGTTATTTTCTTTCCCTCTCTCTCTCTCTCTCAAGTGTTTGGCTGTTGTTTGATATCTCCGGTGTGGCTGCGCTTGATGTGCATGTTGACAAGGTTTCTACCTGTCTATTACACACTACCTCGTCCCTATTGGCTCCAGGAGACAGTTGGTCGTTGCTGGAGGGGACGGGGTGCACTATCCTTGTGGCCGTGCTAGGCTCAAAGAGCGGTTCCATGCACTCAGTGTGGAGCGGACTACGGTCCAGCCACCGCCTTTTGTGCGCTTGATTCCCCAAATACAGCGTGCTTGTGTTTGCCTGTGAAGGAGTGTGGGCCGGCTCCGTAGATGAAACGTGGCTCCCATCCACATGCCTCCCGGTCTCATTCCTTCGGGTTTACACTGGATATGGGGCGTGTGCATGGAGCTGTGGGTGGTGCAGCGCAAGCCACCCATGTTCCCTCTGTAGGCGCAGGCGTCCTGTGGCTGGCCACAGTGACAGGCAAATCCGAAACCGGATGCCGCCAACCGTGTATATATGTGCGCTTTCCAAATGATTTGGTCTGTTTGCATCAGAATGCCTAGTGTCAATGAAGATATTTGCGAAGAAAATGGGTCTACGGTTACCAACCAGCTGACGAGTTTGGACGGAAGAGCCAAGCACTTTCGTTCGCAGTTCAGCTGGACTCCATCTTCGATACGAGCGCGCAGTGCGACCAGTTGCCTACCTTGGCTCATCACCCTGGACCCAAACAGTGAAGCTAATGTTTGCCTTTAGATTCGAAGTTGAAGTGTGTTGTTCTTGGTTATCACGAGCCACTGTCTGTCTAGTCATACAGGTGACTCATGTGTGTGAATAAATGTCCATGTTATCAAGCGAACCAGTTACTTGTTCGTGTGTACACATTACAGTTGTGACCTATGCGTTTCTGTGTTCTTACTTAAAATAAAGCTAATCAAACCTCTCCCTTCAGAAGGAATTCCTCCCGAACTGTTTAGGCATGATAAAGTGGCAATCATTCACCGGATGAGTTTGTTGTTCTCTAAAGGCTGGCACGAAGAAAAGTGGACTTCCCCTTCGACGGAATCAGTTACTATCCCGATTTTCAAGAAAGGCGCTCACACTTCATGGGTCACCCATCGAGGGATTAATCTTATTTCGGTTGCCTCTAAACTTCATAGACAATTTCAAATATATGCATCGTGATGAATAAGCTGGTTCCCGTCCCGGCCACAGTTACCACAGACCCACTATCGTCGCATTTCTAGACATACGGGCTGCATTTTGCTCGGTTGATCGACGGGCTTTATCCCATTGCTGCCTAAAGAACGGGCTGCCATATAAGTATACCGCCATCCTACGCCCACCCCATCCCCACTTCTCCGGCAGAGTGAGGATGTGTGGTAAACTTCCTTTGTCCTCGTCTGCGAATGTACGTCAGCAGCATGCCGGCACATCGCACCTACCCCCCGCTGCCACACGACCACTATACGTCCCGCATGGGCTAGATCTACCGCGAATCGCCAACATCTACCAATCAGTAACTGGATTCGGCCGCTGGACGACGTCGAGTGGGACGTTTTCAAACATCCGACGCTATTGATTGAGGAGAGTTTATCGCTTTTTCCCAAAATGTAATGAATCAACTCTAACCAACAGATACTGCAAGGATCTGTGTAAATATGGCAACATCAAGTGAGCAGCTGAGGCATATAACAAAAGTTAATTTAGTACGCAAATCCGTCGACTCACTTATTTAGTTGCGGACAAGATAAGTGGCCATAATACGGGAGACAGGGTCAGGTTGCGCAACGGCTGCCGTCCCACTCCGCGAGTACATCATTCGGTAACTTCACGCTGGCCGTCTCGATGTTCCCCAACCAGGTACAGAAGCACAATTCTTCCGTCCCAGATTCCTGTGGCATCGACCATGTTTCAAACACGGACAAGTCACGTGATTCATTTTAGTTGCAGGAGTAACCTTAGTAAGTTCTGTCGCTCCACGGTAGGAAAAGACGACGGTTACTTGCCTATGGTTTCACTGAAGATCAAAGATTACCCTGGCTTCTGCTTGCAGTGCTATCCTTGAAGCTATGCTCTGATGGATCAGTTATTTTTGAAGACCGCTTACTACGCCAGTAGGTTCAGCAGTGTCAATTAGACTGCAGTTGAACTTCAAATGGGACAAGAACAGCAGGAAGATCCCGTGAATATTCTACCTACGAAAATGAAGTTGAGTCAAAAGGGAATGCGGTGGACTGATCCACCAAGGAATTGACGGCATCAGTGTCCAGATTTGCCTGTCAATGTAGCCTCCATAGGACATCCACACGACATCTGCACCTACAGAGGGACCATGGCTGACTAGCGCTGCATCACCCACAGTTCCACCCACACACACTATATCCGGTGTAAACCCGAAGAAATAAGGCTGGGACGCATGTGCATGGGAGACAGATTTCATCAATGCTACCTATCCTCTCCACGGAGCTTTGTCCGAAAGCTTGTCAAACTCCTGGAAAAGAAATATCTGTACAACTATATACGCTTGCACAAAGACCTATGGTACAGCTGTTGTTCTTTCACTGTTTCTTGTTAAACGATGAAAATTCAGTCATACATGAACTGAGTAGCAAATTACTAGTGATATTTGTTCTGCCAAATCCTTTTTCAACGATTGTGATTTTATATTTATCCGCATGTACTAGCCCATTCCATTATCTATCCCATTCCTTGGCGTGCATGTTAGAGCTGAATATTCATCCTTCAAGGGTACATAAAGCACTTTCTTGACTTGAGTTGAGCGAAATCGTTGGAACACGGCTTGAACGATTAATCACACAGTGGGTAAGGTGCCTGAATGGCTTGAGCAGACGCAGCATTCACTGCGCGTCCTGATAGTAAGGTTGATGTATTCCTGCTGGTATACACTCATCTAGCGGATGTTTAAGGCTGACAAGGTCAAATGAGGTACCAGCGGCTAACCAAATGTTTTCGTCGTATGAACCAACTCAATGCAAAATTATATTTGTCGGGATATAACTTGTCACTTACAAACGCCCGCTGAGATCTAGTGCCCCATGAGCTTGGCAACTGTGAGATAGACCACTTAGAACCTGTTAAAATTGTTGGTTATAATCCACGATTACTTCCTCACATTAGACCCTAGGAAACCGACATCAAGAAAGCTGCGAATGTACATGTTCGTTCAGTGCATCGGCATCAGCTTGGGTGAAACTGGTCGCATCTTGGTTAGTGATACAGTTCACACTGTTGATGACCCTCCGGGGTTGTTCGAATTTCCGACAAAAGAAGACACCTTGCTAGGTGGCACAGCAACTGTTACGATGACAATTCGTTGTCTCACAAAAGCGAACCACAACGAGACGGACATCGGCGTGTCCGAATCCACGCATTCATCGTGCACCTTCTAGCACACCTTTGATGTTAATCGATACGCGTGCAAGGTCATTCGGTAAACTCAGGTCAGGTCAGGTCAGGTCAGATGGACGATAGAGACTTCCGCCTAACGAGCGTCCAGTTCTTGTGCCGGTAAGTGAATCCACCCCCAGCACTTCGACGTTGGATTGTTTCCTGCTTCTGCAATGGAATGATGCAAGAACAAGAGCAGTCTCTGCACTTTCATATGCCAGCATCAAGATATACTACATATACCAGTACAACTACAATAGCTCTGGAAAAAGGGTGGACCAACAATTGTCTAAGCCCCTTTTGAAGGCTGCTACGGTCTCAGACTCCACTAAATCAGAAGGAAGTTTATTCCAGTAGTTAACTACTCGGTTTGTAAAAAACTTTGCCCTGATGTCCAAACGAGCTCTGTGATGTTTGAGCTTCAGGCGATGCCCGCGCAGATGGTCTGACGTAGCCAACTCAAACAGATGGGTGGAACTAATACCACTAAGTCCCTTAATGATCTTAAACATCTCTATCAAATCCCCTCTCAACCTACGCCGCTCCAAGGAAAATAATCCTAAGCTACTTAGACGATCTTCGTAAGACTTCCCTCGTTGACCTTCAATCATCCTGGTCGCAAGTTTCTGAATCTTTTCTATACATATGATGTCACTCCGGAGGTACGGTGACCAGGCCTGAACACAATACTCCAGATGTGGCCTTACCACTGCTTTATATAAAGCAAGAATACTTCTGCTTTAGTGTTACTCAGCGCCCTCCTAAGACGAAATAACTCGTGTCGTGCTTTATTGGCAGCATGGCGACACTGTGCCGAAGGCTTAAAATTGTTCGCTACGATGACACCTAGATTACGGGCTTCGTCAGTACATCGCAATGATAGAGATCCCACAGAAGACTGAACTGCAATTCTGCTACCACTACTAGTCAATAGTTGACATTTGTTGGCATTTAGAGGTAGGTCCCATTGGCTTGACCAATTCGCCACAGTGATGATGTCCTTAACCAATGTCGATCGGTTTCCCTTACTGACTAGCTTCAAGTCATCTGCGAAGATGTAGCAGGGATCCTCAAGAAGAGGAGCCAGGTCATTTATAAACATAAGAAACAGCAATGGACCCAGAACCGAACCTTGGGGGACACCATTGTAGGCATGGCCAACACTAGAACTCGCTTCCCCAACCCTGACTCTGAATGTCCTTCCACGTAAGAATTCAGAGAGCCATAGTAATAGTTGAGGATGCAATCCAAACCATGTCAGCTTCTCAATTAAAAATCGATGATTCACGGAGTCAAAGGCTTTACTGAAGTCCAAATAGCAAACCTCTACCGATATCCCAGTATCAAGACAACGGGTAATCTCGTCTAAAAAGCACAGTAAATTGGTAAGACAAGACTTCTTTTTGAGAAAGCCATGCTGTTCCGCTCGAATTAGATTGTGCTCAGTCAAGTGCTCACAGATCCTGTTCCTTATAAGCTTTTCGAAGCATTTTAGCATGATGCTGGTCAAACTAACAGGTCTATAGTTAAGAGGCACCGACTTAGAACCCCCTTTGTGGATGGCAACAATAGTCGCCTCCTTCCAATCACGTGGCAGCTTGCCTTCTTGAAGAGACTGGTTGAATAACTCCGCTACGGGATACTGAAGGACATCAGCCAGCGGCTTAACTATGGCGGGATGTACGCTATCAGGACCGGCTGATTTATAAGGGTTCAAACTAGCCAGCACTGTGAAGACCTCTGGCACACTGAGAATAATTTCCCGCATTGTGTAGCTAGTTGAGCAGTGCGGCTGTGATGGCAAGGCTGACCCACTATCCTTCCGATGCAGGCTTTGGTAGACACGTAGCAGCACTTCTACTTTATCGACGTCGTCTACAGCCTGGGTACCGTCCTCCATGGTTAGACAGCCGACGACCTCTCTTAAAGAAGCCTTTGACTGGACATAACTGTAATAACACTTGGGATTAGTTTTCGCGAATTTGGCCAACCTAAGCTCATATGAGTACTTCGCTTGCCGCTGTAACTTAATAGCCATGTTTCGACACCTTTTGTATTGCAGCCAGCGTCGAACCCCCGAGTTTCTTGATATTTTCTCCAATCAGCATTGCGCCTCTTTATCGCTCTCTCAATTTTTCTTCTCCACCATCGGGGTTTCCCAAGATGTCTCCTGGGGCGAAGAGGAGCAGATTCATTCAGCAACTGTACAAGTCCACTTTTAAGTAGAAGCCACCTATGTTCCAAAGTGGCCTTGTCCTGCTCAGGAACCCTCACCCTCAGGTACAGCTTCACCAATGTACGGATACACTAGGAGTGAGTAGTGTTCCATCCCCACAGCAGTTTCCTCTCTCTCATCGCCATATTCATCTGCAGAACTGAGTTTCATGCGCTCCAAATAGAGAAGGTAACATCATCATCATCATTATACACGTTAGCTGCAGGTAGAAAATACCTCAGCTATTGTGCCGCAATATTAAAGACAATAAGAAGAAGAAATACAACAGTGGCCCGCCGGCTGACTCCCCAGTATCGGATGGACATTGTTCCGGAGAGTTAACAGCCGGCTATCGTGTTGTAAAAAGAGACTTACACTATGTCTAGCGAATGAGATCGTGATTGGAGGGGGAGGCTAACCAGGAGGGGATGGACAAAGGAACGCACAAAACAAACACCACTGGGGCCGGCTCCTAGCCATATCAACAAGTGTGTTTAACCCTACGTGTTCATTGTCCTTAGGACCCCAGCCAGGAAGTCGGGATGTACCAATCGACGCCAACTTCGAAATAAGGGCTTTCATTTCTCTCGACCAAGTTATCGCTTGGCCTCCTCTCCTTCTCTTTCAACCGCACCGCCTGCGCGCAAAACAATGCACGTTTCGGGAGTTGACGTGCTGATATGCGTAACATGTGGCTCAGCCATTGGAACCTGGGACGTGATATAATGGTGCTGAGCGGTTCACGCGCTCTTCCTGCACCAAATACGCGACGCCGAGCACGCTTATTGCGCACGCGATGCTCCCACCAGACATGAGCTATGCTGCGAAGTCAGCGTTCATCAAATGTGACGGGCCTCTTTGTGTCTGTCGAACTGTTGGGCCAGGTTTCACAACCATTTAAGAGAGTTGAACGGACGGCTGCGTTATCAACTCTGCCCTTCAGGGCGAGAGTAATGTAGCGGCTGCGCCACAGGGGGCGGAGATTGGCAAAAGCTCCTCGAGCTTTTGCTATACGGTTCGTAGCCCCATCTTCAATCACACGGGCGCTAATAAGGCTGCCCAGGTACTTGAATTACTGAAGGACTTCTAGCTGATTACCACAAATCGTTAACGCAGGGGTGGGTCCCTGCCAATCTTGGAGAAGAGCTTTGCGTTTCGATGGGCTAAAGCATAGCCCGAAACGATTGACAGCCGGTGCCACTCGGTCCAGTATTGCATGACATGTTTGTGGGCTATCACAGATTAGGACAATATCATTCGCGTACTCCAAGTAAGAAGTCGTTCACCAGAAATTAGCTCCACACCTTCTAGGTCGCGTCCAGCGAACGCTGTTTT